TTTTGTTTTTTTTTTCATGGGGCAAGAGAGCACGAGGGGGATCCGTGTCCTTAGATAGGGAATTCCATGATTCTACAGTGGACTTGGCATAATGACAGGCCCTTTGGTCTGGCCTCCAGTGGATCTCCCAAGTGAAATGTGACTCCTGTACTAGGTGCTGGTTTTGGAGGGTTGAGCCATCGTCACCTGCAACAGAGCACGGGGAGAGGGGTCCCTGGGCCTGCGTGCCCTGCTCCCCTGGGACTCCCCCATCATTGAGGGCTGTTCCCCAAGGAGAGCTGTGCCTCCAAAGTGCACCCTGTGGCCATCCCATACAGGGTTACCTGCCTGGGATTCATCTGCTCCTCTTCCCCACACAGACCCAAAGGCAGTGTTCAAGTGTGACCGGGGTGTTCAGCACATGTCACAGGACCAAACAACCTCTGGCTGCTTGACCTGCCTGCAGTGCCCCTTTCCCCTTCCCTCCTTTCCTCAGGCTTCCAGAGGTTTTTGCTTTGGGAAAGAGCATTTCTTGTTCCTATCCCAGCGGGCTGCACCCCCAGCACGGCCTCTATCCTTGCGCTGCTTGGAGTGAAGTGCTGGTGGTTAAACTGCCGTGCTCTGCTTGCAGGATCCGGGCAAGGTGACTCGATCGAGGCGACAGTGTCTGCAGTGTGGGGGCGAGCAGGCAGCACAGCCACCTTGCGATGCACTTACAGCTCCGACTCCTCCTATATTTATGTGGCCTGGTATCGGCAGCGTCCCGGCAGGGCCCTGCAGTACATTGTGCAGAGCAAGGGCCGGGGAGGCTCATACAGCCACTCAGCTCCTCTGGCCCACAAGAGGTTTTCTGGGCGGGCTGATGAGAGCTCGGGCACCTTGAGCATCGCGGCGCTGGAAGAGGCCAACAGTGCGCTCTATTACTGCAGCCTGCAGGGAGCATAGTGAGAGCTGCTCACAGCTGTGCTGGCAATATCACCTTTCCCCCCCACATCCCTTTTGCGTTTCCTGGTGTGAGAGCCCAGCCCAGAGCACAGGGAGCCACGTGGGGTACAGAGCTGAGCGGACCATGGGCCCTGGGCAGCAGCCCAACATCCAGGCGTCCAGACAGGGCTCCCCAGACAAGGGAAAAGCCGGCAGAGCAGCTCTGCGGGCAGAGCCCAACCAAGAAGTGGCAGAGAGCAGCCCAAGCCACAGGGACTGCGTGTGTTGGATTTATGCTCGTGCCAGGCAAGGGCGAGGGTGGAGAGGGCTATGCCAAACCCAGAACTGAGGGCACCCCTGCAGCCCAGATAGTCCCGTGGGGCTGTGCTGCCCCCTCCACACTCCAGCCTGTCCCTCAAACTGGTGCTCCTATGGGCCTGTGCCCAAGGTGGTGGCAACAGCCCTGCTGTGCTTGGCTCAGGGGATGCTTTTGCCAGGGGAGGATGGGGCTTCTCCTGTGGGACGTGGGACATGAGTGCACTGGGCTCATGCCAGACAGCAGTTATGTTCCTGGCATCACCTGTTTCCTCCCAGCAAGACCCAAAGCCAGTGTTCAAGACCAGAGAGGATATTGAGCACAAGTGTTGGCCCTACGTGAGCACCAACCATTGCCCTCTCACTATGCCACCCTTCTTTGCAGCTACCCAAGTGTTTGGGATGGGAGAATAGCTCCATTTCCATGAACCTCTCTGACTACAAGGCAGATGGGAGAGGGTTGAACACTGCAGAACAGGGGCAAGCAAGGCTCAGGAGAGGTTAAACAGGACACACCTAATAAAGAATCTGCACACAATACAGTCTACTACTGAAGCAATGTAGGGCTCAAACAGGGACAACCTGCATGACGTGTTACACTTGAGGTGACCATGTCCTCCAAAGCAGGAGGCTTGA